TAAAACAACTTCAGTGCACTTTTCAATTTAAAGGACACAAACTAAAAGGAACCACGCAAAACACATTAAACTGTGTATCCTCTACTCTGTCCTACATTAAGGTACATTAGCTATCGTGACCTTGTACTGAGCGCTGACTCGTAATAAAACTTCAACACTTGAAAATCAAACAAAAAAACAAGTACAAATACATGCAGCCTATAGTACTGATTTTAAATTCTTTCAGATGTATTAATGGATCCTTGTGACTAGAGCACCGCCTCTTGTTCACTCCTCTCAGCAGTAGGCTATTGATTTACATTTACAAAGGAACAGATTATATGGATTACCATGCATTGTTAAAATCTGATGTTGGTGCTCTTCCAACAAATAAAAATATATAGTAAATATCAAAAGAGAAAAAGGAATTAAACGGCATACATGGCCTGTTAACAGATTTCTTTATTTTTCCTGGTCAATTCTCTACCACCAATATGCAGTACGGAGACTGGGGAGCTGCAAATTTTGAGAAATTGACATTTTCAGAAATTTTGGAAGCACTACAAACAACACTATACAAATCAAAATGAGACAATTTAAACAGATTTAGAGGAAAACATGGAGTATTGGACCCTTGCTAATCTAAGCTAAATCATGTTAAACATAGCATCTACAAAGACATATGAAAAGAATAGAATAGAGAAAAAAACTACATCTGAGTCTCCAGAGTTCACAGTTCCTTGCTGTTAGCCTTCAAGCTCCTGTCCAATCCTATGAGCATTTCTGTAAAATAACCAAAGTACTATTACTTCACTGAGTCTCACAGCTAAAAGCTGTTCAGGTTCATACAGACAGCTTACATTTTGCTGACATACTGTACGGCTTACTTACCACACCCTAAATATGTAAACAAAAACAAGAGCAGGCTAAAGGCTGACACGTCAGTCACAAAAACAGACACAGTGCACAGATCACAAGTAAATGCTAATAATTAAGTATCTGATAGTCTACATGAAATGTGTTGTCATTAATAACTTAGATGAGTTAGTTCCAATCTGATAAGAGTGTGTATACTTGTCGATACTGTGTATGTGTTTAAAAGTGAATGCTTTGATCCATTTTCATATCTACTTTAACCTGACACTTAAAAGCATGTTGCTTCATCATCAACCATGTTTACATACATATATGTAGTGTTTTTATAAATGTGACAAGGAGTACATCAAGATGAAACAAAATGAAGCTATTCTCCAGAACACAAACATCTCAGCTGGCTTCCACTCACGCATGGTGTGTCACAAGAGATAAATTGGGTTTTCATTCTTTGGGTTAATGTTTTCTCAGAATATATTAAGTAAAGGCATAAGCACAAAATTCCAAAAACTCATCTATCAACCTATCTACTGGATAATTAATTTTGTCAAGAACGAGTGCATACAATACTAATATGGATTGTTAGACAATCACAATTATAGATGGCATCTGTATCTGTACAGATGCTCTAGATGCTGCAGTTTGGGCCTCTGTGTAATTCAAGATTTTGTTTTTCCTTTACATTATTCTCAATATTCAGTGGGGAGATGACAGGAAATGAGGGGGCGTGGGAGTGTTCCGGTATTTTTCACAATATCAAGCCATTGTTCTTATCCCAAAACAAAATAATTAATCTAAGACGAAATTTAACTTGCACACTGTCAAGGAGGAACAAAGCCTTCAGGATGGCAGCCCTTATGGACTATGAACTCATGAAAATCAAACTTTCAAATGTTCATAATGTGTGAGCTTCTTAATATTTTTGTGTTTACAGTCAAAACCCACGTTGTATGCATGTAAACATGGCCATAGTTGGTTGCTTCAGAGCAAAAACTTAAAAGATTATTAGGAAGTACTGTAATAATGCCCAGCTTTAATCAATATGATTGGATTATAGCACAGAAATTATTGCACTGCACATAAAAGAAATATCCTTTTACAGTTAAAACTTACGAGATTTTCCCAAAAGGTGCAAATGCAGCCTTGACATCCTCAGTGGTAATCTCAGGGCTCAAATCACCCACAAACACATGGAAGTGATCTAGAGTAATACAAAAGACAAACAAAGTGAAGAAATCATTTACTATTTACTGGTAAACTTTGATTTCAGCAAATTAATTAACAGATGAACACTTACTGGATGTGTCTTTCTTCTGGCTACTCGGAGTGGTGGCCCAATTTACTTTGACCTCCTGAAAGCATAGAGTTCACAGAGAGCTTTGAAAGCTATAACAGAGGACCCAAGAACTGGACATTTTCTACACAAAAGATCAAAATGACCACAGAGGAATTCTGACAACATATGAAATGCCTAACCTCACTTTTAATTTTAGATTAGAGAAAGTTGTCCTACCTTTCCTAATATCTTCCTCCCATTCATGGCTGCAAGGGCTGCAGCAGCATCTCTGTGTTCAAAGAACTCCACAAAGCAATAGGGGTCATTGCTTGTATGCTGCAAGGAACAAGGTGAAACACAGTTCAAAAGTTTGGTTACACTATTTTGTAGACCACTGTAATGTAACAACTCATAAAAACAATTGCTTCCAGAATTTTCACATTCTTAAAAAAAAAATCTTAAATCATAAATATGTGTGCTTTTCTTTGCACCAATGTATTATATATTGTTATTTAATAAAAATGGTTTTGTTAAAAAAAAAAATAACTGGGCCGACAATGGCCAGAATTCAATTCACTTTATACGTTCAAGTCAAAAGTCCTTGAAATCTTTAAGTGAAGAGTGACACGTAGTCACCCTCCATATGGGAATCAATGCAGGGGAAATGAAATGAAAAGAGACAACTAGAACATAACATGTTTGCTGCTTACCTCTGTGATCATTTTACAGCTTTTGCAAGGCCCTATCTGGGTGAAAAGTTGCAGAATCAAAATTTCGGTTACATCTCTGGAGAGGTTTCCCACATATCTGGAGAAGAAAGAGGTTTTGTGAAAGTCGTTACAGTTTTCTCCAGGTAACGATTAAGTGGTACAGACAGTAATACTTGTTCTGAAAAGCTGACATAGAGACAACTTGTTTCGAGTGCTAACGTTACTTCTTGCTTAATGAGCGTGAGTTATTACTGTGTCGTTATTTACATTAACGTAGCTTAAGTACTGACTTACAAGTTGGCCCAACGAAACTGCTAACTTTAGCGTTAGACAGCTGTCGTCGCTGACGCTTGACACTAGCATTAAAGATTGCGCAAATCGAAATTCTTTTTGTGTTGTCTACCCTAATGTTTGTGAAACATTAGCTAGATATTTATGTTGTTTGGCGGTATCAGCTAGTTTCTCGTAATGGATAGCTAAGTTAGCCACCTGTTCCCGATGTTAGCGAAGCTAACGACACTGTTAAGATGCCTAAAGTTACTTACAGGGTTTTGGGGTAACTTTCGTCGTCCATTGCTGATGCCAACAGTCACCAGGACAGAAAACGTTCGTAGCTAGCTAGTTAGTTAACGTTCACCGATTCCGGTGTACGCTGTCGAATACAACAACCAGCTAACTAGCTTAGAAGCTAGCGTTAGCTAACCGGGCGCCAGGGCATACGTCACGCTGGGAGTCCAGGGAGCGGGTGTACGTACATACGTGCAGACAACCGGCTAAGTCAGGATGAAGAGAGAGAGGAAAAAATAAAAAAAATAAAAAAAAAGAGCGTTTTTTTTCCCCCCAGTTTTTTAATTGTGGAAATGATATATGTTGTCTTGGGGATAGCCGTGTTAAAACTACAAGAGCCCAGACAACGAATATATTTAGTACTTATTTTTATCACATTTGTCAACGCCTGAAAGGGATTTGTGCGAGACACTTTTATTTTGAAATTGGACGCAAGAGTAGGCTTGTTTTAATCACCGGTGTTCGATAGGTGGTTCGAACCGCCGGGACCATTCTGGAATATGAGCTCACGTGATAGCGTGTAGGCTCCAATGTAGTTAATACATTCATGATTTATATATATGATTCTATATATGCAGTGTTATTGTAACTGTTCAAGTGGTGTAAAATTATTAAAGAGGATTTTGTCCAGGCAAAAAAAAAAATATTTAGACAAATTTGCCTCAAGGAACTTTACAGTCTGTCCTTGGATCCTCACATTAGATAGTGTTTGGACTACTAACTAAAAAGCATGAGCTAATCTGCATTTTAAAATGTTGAGTTATTTTGCATAAACACGGTATAATTTACACAAACAAATTATGATTTAGATATTTAAACATGTGGTTTAAGGTTATAGTGAAATCTGCCTAAACTCAAATCTAAATGTATTTATATAGCATTTTAAAATCAACAACTTGTTGACCAAAGTACTTCACATAAGCCACAATAAAATTAAATAAAAAGCAAAAGACACAGACAGTAAAACATTGGAAGAGGAGACGTCAGCTCCACTATGATCCAAAGGCCATGAAAAATAAATAAGTTTTACGCAGTGACTTTAAGACTGGCATATCTGTTGTAGATTTAATATTAATAGGTAAACTGTTCCACAGTTTTTGGGGTGATTATAGCAAAAGTGTGATCACCCCAGCGCTTGTATCCAGTCATCTAAAAGAAACTGATATGAGGACCTAAGGGATCTAACTGGCTTGTGCCACTGCAGACATTTACTGAGATAGGAGGGGCCAATCCATTAAGTGCCTTAAAAACAAATAACAGTAACTAAAAACTGATTCTAAAAGGGATTTGAAGCCAGAAAGGGGTTGTGTGGTCATGCTCACAGTTACTTGTCAGTAGATGAGCAGCCGCATTTTGAACCAGTTGGAGACGTGAAAGTGCATTGCAGTACTCGAGCCTAGAGTTGATGAAAGCATAGTCTGCCATTTCAAAATCAGTAAAAAAAAAGAAACGTCTTGAGTTTGCTTAACAATCTCAGCTAGAAAAAGCTTGCCTTCACCACTGAATCGATCTGTTTATAAAGTTTCAGTTCAATATCACCCCCAGTAACACCCCCAGATTTTTTTTTACCATGGGTTTCAGGTGCAGAACCTGAATTACTAAACAATATACACTCATTTTACTTTAATTAAGAGGGCTGCAAAAGTCAGAGCTACCCTTTAGTCTTACCATGCAAGTATTTTTGGAAACGTAAAAAAATGGTATTCTGGAAACATAAACAAGATCACTGAATGAATAATCTGGTGTTTTATTTATGATGATTTCTGTGACTAAAGACATTGATTTATGCAGGACAGACAACTGAACCAGGAAGGACTGAATAGAACCTTTTCCCCCTGCTAAAAATCAGTAAAATGTATGTGTGTCACTACATGCACAGGAATTTAATTTCATTACTTTAGGATTCTTTTTGTTGTTACAGTAGGCTATAACCTATAAAAATCCCTATAATATTGAGAAAATATTTATGGAGCTCAATTACCATCCTCAAACTCTTGTGGAAAATGATGATTTTGCTGTTTATACTTACAAACAAACATTTACAAGGACAGGCTCCACTTAATAGCTACACACCTTGTTATGTCAATATCTTACTAATTTCAGGTGTCCAAAAATACAAATATCAATTGTCTTGAACTCCAATATCCAAACCATCTGAACACCCATAAAATTCAGAGTCTTGGTATTGATGAGTTTGATTTACTAGCATTTCTCGTATAAGTTTTAGTTTGTGTGGTCCTGTGACTGAGGAAGATCTGTCATTAGAGGTGTCACTGCCTGTGCCCACACTGTATCACACCACCACAGTTGCATAATTGTGTAACAAATTATAGCAAACCCAGACTGAGTTTCCTTGGACAAGATCTATGATGTGGGAGTCTGAGTACATCTATTTGGGGAACCTTTCATAATGAAAAAGCTTGGGATTCCCTTACTCAGAAACTGGCTCTCAAAATGGGGTCCAGGGCACACTGGGCACCGATGGCGCTCCAGGGAGCCCCAGCAGAACTGGGGCGAAGGATTGCCAGTAAACTAGAGACAATACGACTGTCACTTTCTCCACAGCTGCAACAAAAATCGTCCTGAGAGGGGTTCCCCGGGAAAAATTGTGAAAAGCAGAGCATTGGTTCCATGTCTTGGTTGTTGGGTCTGCGACATAGCACGTTAGAGAACCCGTGTCCAACGCTGTCCGCCCCCAACATTAACCCTGCTATTTCCAGAAACTTCCAGCCCACTTTTCCACGTCACTTGAAGGAATCTTTAAAGCGTCCGTCGCCTGTATAAAATGTCTCAGTATTCGACAGCTAGTAACATGAACGGCATGAAGATACAGTCACCGATACTGACAATGGCAAGTAATGACAACGACCCTCTTCCCCTCGGCTGGGAAATAAAAATCGACCCTCAGACTGGATGGCCCTTCTTTGTGGATCACAACAACCGCACGACAACATGGAATGACCCGAGACACGACACGAAAAAGGTAAAAAAAAAAAAAGCGGCGGGATAAAGTTGGTTTGTTCGTGTTAAGCGCTAAAAGCTGTACAACTCTTCAAACGGCTATTTTTGTGTCGAGCTACGTCGGTTACAGCGTTTTGTTCTGGTGCGCTGACACAGCAGCAAAAGCGTTGTGCTACATCACTATATTAATCTTGTTGAAGGTATAGGCCTTGTTTGGCACCCACCTCCCCCTCGCAGACAGCTCATAAGCCTATTATAACGGGTGATCAACCTCGTTATGTTCCCGTGTCATGATCTAAAACTATTATTACTCGATGACTCACGCTGCAGTATGTAAAGGCTACCCAAGATGAACTCCCAGTATTTTAATAACATGTCTTTCATGGTGGAAAACACAGCGACGTCCAGCTCACAAGAAACTTTTTCCCTTACATGGATTTAGACAGGTCCAGTTCACTTTGGCCCATGGAGTCCTACTGTGTGATCTTGGTGCTGGCTGCCCTGCTTATCATATTCAGCTGTATTTGATACATGCTGTGAAAACATAGAGGTCTGCAGAGAAAACCCGTGGGCTGAAGTAAGCTTCACAGGCTCCCAGTTGGTAATCTTTAGTCTCAGGGAGGGAGACTGTTGTCCAAAGTTAGTGTCCGAAGAATCTGCTGGAAAGACACAGCTGTCAGGGGATAAAATTGGTGCAGTGGTGCTCCACACTGAAATGGCAGAGGGCAAAGGGTCGCTCACAGCTTTTTCATAACTTTTGTCTTAGTGGAAAACGCCACTGGCTTACATATAAATGCAGTTTTCAAAAACCTCTTGCATTTGTTTTAGTGGTTAGAAGCAACCTTTGATCACTTCAGATATGTCAATGATAGAGTGCTGAGCCACTAGTAAACCTGTTGCTTGTAGCTGTCAATGGCAGGCGCACTACCCTTTCCACCTGGGCTAATGGAAACTTAAACAATTATTCCTGATCAGTGTCATTGTCTGGCATTCAGGAGTGTGCTGTAGGTTCAACAGTTGTACATAATGAAATATAACACTATATAAATTTGATAATATATTTTATTAATTATAAATA